AGCCTGCCCCTGCGGGTGAAGAAGATGGCCGGATCAGCCCGGCCTTCTGGGCCTCTGCGATGTATGTTGTCATGGCCTGGCATTCAGGAGGTGAGAGGGTAAACAACCGGCCCCTAGGGGGGGTAGTACCCAGCAGCAGTTCAATGGGACAGTCATATGGTCGGTGAGGGGGTAACATGGTAGCTCGGACCTTATTAAACAACTGTTTGAGGTCCAAATATTCAGGCGGGACTTTGGATAGGTCGGGGAATGTGTCTGGGTCCGATTCTTCCTCTACCCCCTGGATGTTAGCTGAGTGCAGACACTGGGTAGCACATTCTGGTGACCATTCATTTATTTTACCTGAGGCTCAGTCGATCTTAGCTCCGTGTTTCAGTAACCAAGGAAACCCCAATACAATGGGATGATGCGGGGATTGCATCACCAGGAAGTCAGTAGTTTCCCTATGATTGTCTATGGAGAGAGTTAATGGGGGTGTATGGCTCATGACACGTTGCAAGAGTTTATTGTTGAGAGAATGTATCAGGGGCGGGTTATTCGTGGATTTGCTGGGAACCTGATGATGAAGAAGAAACGCTAGGTCAATGAAACTGGTGTCAGAACCTGAGTCAATGAAGACTGGGACAGGATTAGTCTTGGTGTCACACGTGAGCTGGGCCCTGATTATGGGACGGGAGGTGGATGTATTCATAACTGCTTGGCTCAGCAACGTCCTCCCCGTCCTGCTGAGTCTTTGCCTTTTGCCGGACTCTCCACAGTACAAACATAGGTTCATGCGGAATCTGCGCTTTCTCTCTTCCGGGTTTAGTCGGGTGCGACCCAACTGCATGGGCTCAGGAGACTCGGTGGATGTTTGAGCAAAAACCTGGGGTGGCGCCGGGTGTTGTCTCTGTTCCCACTGCCTTTCTCTGTGTCGGCCATCGATTCTAGTCACCAGATCCATAAGTGCTCGCAGATGTCGGGGCTGATCATACATAGCAAGCGCGTCCCTGAGTCGGTCCAAATAACCCGCCGTAGAAAGCGTCTACCAACGCGGGCTCATTCCAGTCTGAGTTGGTAGTGGCGGTGCGAAAGTCTATGATGTAATCCACTGCGGTCCTGGTACCTTGAGTCAAGGTGCGCAGAGAGGGAGCGGTGGCCGTAGCTTGAACTAGGTGAGTCGAAAATCCTGGGTAATTGTGCCCCGAATCTCTGGAATGTAGCACAGCAGTCTGATCTATTAGTCCATTCGGCTGTGCCCCACCTGCGTGCTCGACCTGTTAACAGAGACAGCGTGTAAGCGACTTTTGATCGCTCGGTGGGAAAAGCCGAGGGCTGAGTCTCAAACTGTATTTCACACTGGGTCAGAAAGGAGCAGCTGTCCCCGCAATCCCCTCCGTAACACTCCGGAGGTGGGATCCTGGGCTCTTGGTGACTTGGAGGAGCAACTGGGCGCTGGACCAGAACCGCGGCAGTGGCGGCCCGAGGCTGATCTTCCTGAACCGGGCCCCCCGGGTGTTCCCCCTGCCACTCACAAAGATCGCTACGGGCTGGGTTCATTGGTGGAAAGATTGTACTGTCGGGGGTGAAAGTACAGCTGCCATGGAGGTGTAGGTGTGAACCCGATTAAAGAGCCAGTAAGCTGGAATAGCACAACAGGTTTTAATAACATCCTCAGGAACAGAGTCAGATATACATAGTACCAGTCTGAAGGGCTTAGGCAGAGAGCAGTACTTAGTTTGGTCCAGGGTCGATATCTCCAGCAAGGCAGTAGGGAAGGCAAGACAGAATCTCTAGTCGTTAATGCAGGCAAGGTGTTGTTACCAAGAAAGCAGTCCAATAAGAAGGGTGAGGCAGAATCTCGGGTCAATAGCACAAGCAAGGTGTTGGTATTCAGATGATCAGGCAGAAAGAACGCTGGAGAGTCTAGTTGAGGCATAGAACAATCTGGCAGCTCCCCACAGAGTAAGGAGCTGCTATATACTGTGAGGAACAGGTGTGACTGATGAAGTAGCAGGTGAAACTAATCTGAATGATGACATGAAGTTCCCGGAATTCAGGGTGAGCTGGGGACAGGAAGCAATAAAGAATAAGAGCATACTTGCAGGAAGTGAACGGGGCTGAAACATGACATCCCAGGAAGAACCTGGAAGAAGCCAAGGAAGGTGGTAATGAAGGGTCAGAGGTCATTAAGACAGCACTGGCCTTCGAAGACCCAATGGCTTTTTACCCTACAGGAAGAGCTGCAGGAAGCCATAAGAGAGAATGTGTCTTTGCAAATAGAATTCCCACAGGAACAACAAGAACAGCGTCAGGACATGTAGGAATGCCCACTCTTCAAGGAAGCCTGAGGAGACAAAAGGCAAGAAGAAGATGGGAAAGTGTTGCTTCATCCAGAGCAACATGACAAAAGGCAAGAAGAAGATGGGAAAGTGTCGCTTCATCCAGAGGAACATGACAGAAAGTATCCCACTGCAGGACGAGGAGGACATGGAGAAGTTGAGGGTAAATTTGTATTCTCCTATCACACCTGGGCTGATGGCAGAGGAACCCGCAGACCTCTGGAGAGAGAAAAAGGAAGAAATGGAGGAGAATGAAGAATATGTGGTAGTGGACAAGTGGGTGGACGAGCTGGACCCTTAGGGGGACAAGGAAAACAGCAAGCGGGGATGGAAAAGGGAGAAAAATGATTATGAGATAATAGCTAAAAGGAGGATGTTGAAATAATCATTCAGGAAGGATGATTCTTAGTATGTTTTGTTTAATGAGTTGTAATGAATTGTGTGATTATGAAGATAAATATAAGAGTAATTTTAAAATGAAATATTTAAGTGAGCAGAGAAGTTGACAAACTGGAGAAGTATGAAAAACCACCACTGAGTCATGGTGACAGTTGTTGGTTGCAGGCACAACTTGGGTGTGAACCGAGGGCGTCCCATGAGATAATACAAGAGCTCCAACTGATGACAGTTCAAAGGTCAGAGATAGTGACAGTTGGTATAAAGCTGAAGTCTGACTGGAGAAGAGGTAGCCTAACTCACAGAAACCCTTTAAAAACCACAGCAAAAAGAGGAAGAGAAGGACGATCAGCACCTCTGTCCACTTGTTTCTCTGAGTTCCAGAAGACCGAAGAAGATATACAGCCGCTACCAAGAGTGGGATGCAACGAGGGATGCTTGAACTGTTTAGCAAGAAATGCCTGAATCCCGACCAAGGAGGAACTGGTAGAATTATGATTTTCAACCAAATCCAGCAAACCACCAACTCGAACCAACCAATGATGTGTGATCATTGGGAGATTCTTTGACTTTTATTCAGTGATGTGAGAGCTCTCCCACAATAATTTTAATTAAAGAGCTTAAATTGATGATTTAAAAATAGCTTTTGTTGATTTATAGAGTTGTAAGAAATTCAAACTATTTATTTTTGATTTTTGATATTTTGCATCATTGCTTGCTGCTTTGCTCCAACTCTCTTTAAACCTATATAGAAATTTCTAAACTTTTAAATTCCCTCTCTTTATTAAGTTCTTTATTATTATTATTTCACCTATTGTATGCTGTTAGAAACTGTATTAAGGGATGTTTAATGCTGCATATGATGTTTATTTCATAAACTAAAATACAATTAGTTTAAATGTGATAAACCTCATGAGTGAAGTAGTGAAGACTGATTATTAAAACCAAATTGTTGACTCAATATTAAAAGAGAATTGTATCAGAATATACTTTACATAAGTTAATCAATTATCTACTTATTCCAAAATACTGTATATGATCAACTGGTGTCCAGTCTTAGGATGTTAGCTAATGTCAGTCAACTCAGAAAAAGCTTCTCTTCATTTTGATGGTTCAGCTGCTTTTGTGTAAAAAAATGTATTTAACATTTCTAAAGTATTAAAATGTCTAAGGTTTGGCTGATGAAAGCCACAAAGTAAAACGATGCTGTGTTGTCAAAAGCCAGTCATGTGACTAATGTGGCCCGGTGCTGCACAGGACGAGCTACAAACTGTTTAGTAGCATGTGAATGTAATATTTAGGAGACAGGGTTGGTGTCACACACTGAATTGATTGTGTTCCCTATGGAACATTTTCCTCCCTGATAGTGTGGCTCAGATTCAGGGGCCTTTAATCTGATTCCCTGAAAATTCTTCACGCTGCTGAAAACTATTTGAAAGCAGGTAATTGCTGCTCATTAAAGAGAAAATGGAGAACATTTGTAGCAGTGTTGTTGCGTTGTGCATTGTAATGAATGCTTATTTAAGGTGTTTATATTGTATAGCCAGCCGCCGTCAGCCAGGCATAATCACTGCCGACTTAATCATCACTTACCAGAATCTAATGTCAGCAGCCTGTGCAGGAACATTTACATGTTCCTCTGCTCTCCCCTCCTTTCTGTCCCTTTTCCTTATCCCTTTCTTGTCTCCTTTCCTCTCCTCCTTCCTTGTCTGTCATGGTGCAGCAGTCCTCTGTGGCATCACTCACATGCACCCATACGTGTGTGTGTGTGTGTGTGTGTGTGTGTGTGTGAGCAGGATGCCCACCTAAGCTCAGCTATGCTGTGTGATTGTTACTGTGACAGCTGAACAGCAGAGGAATCACAGTTCGATTTTTAGAGGCAACAAAACACCTAATGTCAACAAACACACAGTGTGTGTTGGAGATTACACTGGCAGTTTTTCCCCTTAATCTGAAAGTCCAGCACAGGAAAAGATTCTCTTGTGTTGAAAAGTTACTTGTCATCTGTGCCTCCTCTTTCTTTGCCTCCAGTTTTCTGTCATCTCTCATCTCAGATCCTTTTCCCTCCACTTAAACATACATTTGTCAGTGAAAAGAACATTTTCAGTCTGGCCTCCTTTTTTGTTTCTGTCTATACAGTCTCCTCTACCTTTATTAAACATTGATTTGGCTGAAACTGCACTGAAGGATTCTCAATTGTAAAAACGTTTTCGTCAGCTGCTGATGTCACACTGTGTACATTACAACAACTGGCACTGAAAGGTGCATTTGGTTTGGCCTCACCTTAGGCAGGGAGGCTCTGGAACCAGAGCTCTGTGTGGTCATGGTCAGCACGGTGGTGATGCCCAGACCGACCCGAGCGGGCGCCGCGTCCATGTTGATCCAGAAGGAGACCCAGGACAGGATGACGATGAGCAGCGAGGGGATGTACATCTGGATCAGGTAGTAGCCCATCTGACGCTCCAGGTGGAACCGAGCCTCGATACAGGTAAATTTACCTGGAGGAGGAGGGAAAGAAGGAACAAACTAGTTCTTAATAGTGAATTTACATAGAGGAAGAGGGTGGAGGAAGATGGGAAAAGTAAGATGATGAAAAGAACCAGAGCTGGGACTCCTTCCATAGAAAAAGACTTTGGTGCATTTGAATTCACCTGGAAAGAAAAAAACTGGGTGTGAGGAGAAGAAGAGAGAAAGGCAGACTGAAAGAAAACACAAGAACAATTATTATTCTAATGAGATTTCTGCACTAACCTCTGGTTAACACATTGTTGCTAGAAACCAGGACAGTGGAACTCATCTCCACTTGGACATGGGCCTGGGCAGGAATCCACAGGCCTCTGGCAACGAGACTGTTACAGGCTCTTTTACTGTCTAAAAGCAAAAGCTGATCATAGTCTAAGAAACCAGTAAGGTGCCTTTACTTTTTATGTATGTATTTTTTGTGACTTTTCCCATTTGTAACAAACTGACTGTACTCAAAAGGAGCCAGGATCTGATTTCTGAGTGGACTGTTACATACTCTAAGTTTTCCCAACTGCAGAAATGTCTACGTGCATTTCTGATGTGTTGGAGGTGTACACAGCTACAGAAGCTAAACTTTGATCATGCTGTTGCACAGCTGTGATCCCTCACTGGCTTCCCACTAACAAACATCTGGAATGTGATTAAACTAGAAGCACCTTTACCAAAAACCAAAGCCTGGCTTACTACTGACCTGAACCTAACTTCTGAAACAGCAATTATTCTGTTAGCATGTTACAGCTTAGCATCAGAACTGATCTCAGCGTACCGACAGAAAACGTCGAGATCAGATTTGAGCTTTTTGGGACGAGAAACAAACAATAAAAACCATATTTTTATGAGACTAAAGCTCGTCGTCTTTACAAACAATGAAAAATCAGCTTCAAACATACACAGACATTCTGGTGTTTTAAAAGGAACAGAAATAGTGGCACCCTTCTAAAAGGTCATTACTTTGTAATGAGATGGCTCATGATACTTACAACTTCAAAGACGTTGACTGCCTGGCTTTATATTCATGAAGAAAATCATTTTGTGTCAGCAGGTGTCCTGTCTTTCAACACAAATATTTCATTTGGAAATGACTCACTATGCAGATCATCAAGCACATAAGGCTTTTTCCAGGAAAAAGTAATAAAAGCAAAATGTTCTTTCATCAGTTTCCCAGACGCAGTGCAGTTCCATTAGCAGTGAAGAGTGTTTCTGAACTCCCTATTATCTTCACCTGAGAGGGCACATTATCTAAACACCGACACCGTCAAGTCCCCTGCAAAACAGGTGGAAATGATGAGAGAGTAAATTAAAGGAAGGGGGAGGGAGGGAGAGTGGGGAGCAGGTGTTGGACTGGCAGTGAAAAGGAGGTTGAGCTGGAGAGGGAAACAGAGGAATTGAAGATGGAGTTGACAGCTCTGAGACAAAATGTCATCTTTCCTCAGCACTCACACTGAGCAAAGTGGAAATCACAAATGGAAAATCAGAGAGACTTGAGTTCTCGGGCTGGCTGAATATCAATAAATATTTGAACACAAACACGGGGGCGGCTTTGGATTCATGCTGCCAATTAGCCATCCTTCCATTCTCTTCTGCTTATCCGGGGTCGGGTCCCGGTGGCAGCAGGCGACGTGTTCCAGCTCCTTTGGCGGGACTCCGAGGCGTTCCCAGGCCAGATGAGATGTATAATCTCTGTAGTGTGTTCTCAGTCTGTCCTGGGGTCTCCTACTGGTTGGACAGGTTTGTACTGAACAGGTTTGGATGAAAATCAATGGTTAAAAAACTATTTTAAAAAAATCTAAATATACAAACTCTTAAAAAAATACTGCACATGCTCTATGGTGGAGTATGTAAAATAAAAAGTGACATTTCTTCAGAAAAACTGTGCAAATATGTCTAATTGAGCTCATGCTGCAGTTGGCTTTCATTAAACTACACTAGCAACAGTAACAAATATCCCGATTTCTGTTGCTGTACTGTAACAAGCATAGTGGGTCTCATTAAAAACTAAACAAAACAAAAAACCTAAACAATAAAACACAAGAGGGCCACAGAGCAATATGGCTGACAGTCTATTTAACCAAAGAAGACTGTACTGAAGAGTTAACCCTAGAAGACTGAAGAGGAGAGGAGGGAGAAGCATGAGGAGATGGGTA